TTGTATCTTACACTCATACATACATCACCTCGAGGTGCCCCACTCATCTTCATATATGTTGCTACCCGCCACCACCTTCTCTCGTAGTCTTTTGCTCGTCACAAGTTGTTCGAAATAGAGGAATTGAGATAACGTAGCAAGTAAACAATCGGTGAACTATTGAATACTGTATTATTTCGCAAGAAGGCGAGACATACGGGTGGGTGATTATGCTCCCAGCCGGACCCGTCGCCCAAATCACTCTACACCAGATTTTATTTTCAACAGCTCTTTCTTGGTCGTACCGAGAACTTTTCGGCAAAAAGAAAAAAAAGTTCACGAAAAGATCCATTTCTATTAGAATCTAGTAGACGTATTTAAACACAGACACTGAAAAGAAGTGCACAAATAGGATTGATTTATTTGTTTTGTTTTGTTTTTTACGACTTATCAACCCTTTGTGGTTAAGCAAATCTGAAACCGGTATTTTCAGCCTGATTTGACTTTATACTGATAAATATATTGATTTTCTAAGCGTAGCTTAGTTGTGACACAAGGCCGAAAGTATGGAGCACCCAGTAAGGATCGAACTCACTATTCACACGTAATTGAACTGGCGAGACAAGCTTACTCGCAATTATACCACATAGAATAGAGACATCGACGTTTGGTTGCTAGAACAATCATGGATCGATGGATCTTATGTGTGCGTTTCACTTGAGGCCACTGTGAATTTATGGCCCAACGGGCTTTCAATGCACAGAGACTCTTCGAGTGGGACATCCATTCATCGAAACTAGCGGTAGTTAGGGGTTCGATCGACGTTGATGGAACGTAAGTAGTTTGGTTTTTGAGGAATTGAATGTAATCAGTCAGTTTTCCTCCACTGAGTAGTTAGAGCAAGATCGGCTGAGAGATCAACTGCCAATCGATGATCATCACGAGTTTTGGAATTATCTTATTGTTCTGATCACTTGCTTATAACATCCTATTTATCATCTCTTAGTTGCGTCTCTGTCTTTGGGCAGAGTGCGCCCAGGGGCGGCTCTGTCAAAGGACAGAGTCACAACTGAGGAAAATTATACTGGGAGGTGCCCAGTCCTGGGGAATAGATGTCCGAGACTGTCCGAGGCCGCGCCCTCTCATTAAACCAGAGAGAGTGATCGGTGCTCGTACCGAGGTCAGCGCAATCGATCGTTGCGGCGGCTCCGAGAATTATTGTTCCTAGCCCGGTTGTATGCGCTCGGGCTCCTCACATTAAACCGACCTTGTTTCACAACGCGACTTCGTTGGGGGTCGAGTAAATACCAAATTATTATAAAGTAAAGCTGGGGCTTTTTAATCTTAGAATTCGTGGGAGATTTGACCTCCAATTTCGCATTTATTCATAGAGATTCCATAATATAGGTTTTACTTAATGAAATAAAAATAATTGTTTGTATAGAAAATAATGATCTACGTACATCAAATCGTCTTTAAATTAAGAGGCAACAGAAGAATTATCGTTGAACTTTTAAAAGATAAACTTAAACATTAATTCAATACTTAAATGCAGTGATCAGTGTTGAGTTCTTCTGTAGTTTATTGATGCCTATCGCATCTACTCCCCCCTAGCTATTTTGATGAAGGCCAAACCATGCGTCCTCCACAGGATAAGGCGGCTTTTAAGCTAGCTTAAAATTTTAAGCTAGTTGCAATTTTGGATTCAAAAGGAAAATAAGAGTTACTCCCCTTGAACCACGAAAGCAACGATAATGGATAGTATAATATATTAATATATATTTTTAACCGTGCATAATCTGGCCACCCTGAATCTGAGCTCAACGAAAGTCGTTCCCTGCGCCTAACTTTTCTAGGGCTTTTAAATGAGTCATGAATCATTGAAATTAGAACAGTGGAAGAGGAGGAGTTGCTTGGACACACATACACACAAACACACACACATACACTGTACTTTATATATAAGATTATGTTTTATTAATGGTATTTTCTGTCTTCAATTTTTTTCTCATGTTATCTGTATTTCTGTTATAATTAATCCTCTTTTTTCCTGAAATATACAGTACGAGGCAGAAAAATGAACGCTTCCATAGAAAGTCGATTTTTGTACTTTTACCAAGAAAAGTGAGTAATAGAATTCGTTCATTAATACAGGGTATTAATACAGGTATACATATGTATATTATACAAGTCAAAAAAGGATTTGGTATTTTGTTGCGTATTCTTTTGCTTTAATAACGGGCTTAAGTCTTCGTGACATGCTATAAACTAAATTATTTAGTAAGTCAACGTCCTTCGCCAGATTTTCCAGCATTCTTTTAATTCGCGAAAAAGCTCATCTTCTGTGTTAACTTTCCTATTAAAGGCACGCTTGTCCATTATTGCTCAAAAGTTTTCAATTGGATTAAGACCAAGACTCTGACTAGGCCATTGGAAGAGTTGCAATTTACCCTCGTCGCGTTTCCTCTCTAGATAACGTTTATTTTTTTAAGACAGTATGCTTATGATCGTTATCATGTTGGAACGAGAAGCGTTGACCTTGGCCCAAAAGGTTTTTTTTAGCAGACAGCCACATTTGATTAACAAGAATTCTGTGGCATTGATGTTAGTGCATGATTTCCTTGATTTCAATCGACTTTCTATGGGTTTTTTTTTTGCCTCGTACTTTAGGTCTACTATTTTCGTCAACAATTTCGTCTACGCCACTGCAGTCTTCTCAAATACTTCGAGCCCACTCGACTTCTTCATTAGATTACCTCGAAATTTGTGGATGAGAAATATGGGTAGGGCCTGATTTGTGGGGTTATATATTAATTCTATCTATGTTGTTAAATTTGTGATATATATACAGGGGTTGGACAAAGTAATTGGAACAGTTGCAAAATCCACTCCTATATTTCAAAGACCTATTATATTAAGAACTTTAACTAAAACTTCGTAATTGCAGGTTATATCTATTGTAAATACGTTTATTTATCTAATTTACTGTCTTTTTTGAGAAACTAAGTATAAGCCTCTTTTTATATTCCATTTCCCCTTAAGATTTCTTCATTGTATTCTATATTTTGAGAATTCTGTCGAAGAAACTTTAATGGAATTTTCCCCCACAAATAAAAACGAGCTACATTTCTGTTGCCTTCAGTTTTCTCTTCATTTTGAGGAGATTGTATATGCCATTGCATTCTTAAATTCTCTCTTGACTTTATGTATTCGGTCAAGCCATCTCGAAGGTTTATGAGTCTATTTCGTCAACCATCACGGTCCTGCATCATAGTCGCAAGGTCATTAGGGTGTCATTCTGTGACATACATAGCTGGTCAATATAGGTAGTTGTTGGAAGACAATCCCGTCTTGCTGCATGGCTTGGTATACAGAGCAATAGATCACTCTCGAGTTCTTGTTTTGCTCGCCAACGGTGTCCTGTAGAACACATTCTGCGTTCTCGCAACATTGTAGAAATATCAGGCTGAGATTTATTTGGGTGTTGTCTCCAAAAGATGTTAAATATAGCTCTCAGCATCCGAGTGTAGGTTCCATCAAGCTTAGATTCTAGGGTTTTAGTTAATGTTCAATCAGTCGCACCATACATTAAAACTCCCTAAAGTGGCTCAAAAGAATCTTCACTTGATGTTTTTGTTAGACCAGATTTCCAGATTACATCCGTTTTAGTCAAAGAGACCCTGGCTTTAGCTATGGGAATTTTCACATCCTTTTCAGTAGAATTTATTTCGCTTCCTAGTATCCAGATTACATCCATTTTAGTCAAAGCGACCCAGATTTTAGCTGATGGAATTTTCATCAGATTTTTTCGCTTCCAGGTATCCAGATTACATCCATTTTAGTTAAAGGACCCATTTTTTAGCACATCCTTTTCAGTAGAATTTATTTCGCTTCCTAGGTATCCAGATTACATCCATTTTAGTCAAAGCGACCCAGATTTTAGCTATGGGAATTTTCACATCCTTTTCAGTAGAATTTATTTCGTTTCCTAGGTATCCAGATTACATCCATTTTAGTCAAAGCGACCCCTTTTCAGAGAATTTATTTCGTTTCCTAGGTATCCAGATTACATCCATTTTAGTCAAAAGAATTTTCACATCCTTTTCAGTAGAATTTATTTCGCTTCCTAGGTATGGAAAAGATTCGAAAGATTTTAATGATTCATCTGACATAGTTTGCATTGAACCTATAAATTCATTTTTAGAAGCGTTGACATAAAATCTAACATCGTTGGCAGCATTTCATTTTCTAGATAATGTAGGAGAACTGTGGCATTGGTAATGATGGTTTTAGTGATCAATAGGTCAACTGCATAGTCAATATCGGTCAACTTTTTTTGCAGGATATCGACATTGAGAGTCTTGGCGATAAAGTAAAACCTAGATGATGATGATATTTATCGATGGAACTTTCTATTATTGATTGTGTCTTCTGAAGTGAAACAGCGTCATTATTGCATGTATTATTTCGACTCGTGTCATTATGCTTGTCATTTGAAACAAGAAACGACCTTCTTGAAATAACGAGAATGTCAGTCTAAAGGAATCACCATATAATATCTTATTATCGACGTCTCTAATTCTGACGTCTGTTGAATACGGCGTATCCAATTCATATAACAGTAATTCTGAAAGGATTATAATATCAATTTCATTAAAATCTTTCTGGCAGGTTCGGGTTTACACAAGGCTTCATGTAAAGGACACTGAGGATTTTAATTTTAAAAACGAATTATTTGACACATTCCGGAATTAATGGTAAATGTATGAAGAAATACAAATGAACTTCAGAGATGTGCGGTTTCTAACAACAAAATCGGAAAGAGATGTTTGCTGATGAATGTAATGTCTGATTCTTCTGATTTCTACAAAAACAAAATATGATTAATCCAAGAAAAGGATGACTGTAAAGAGATTAATGGCATATTTGAGGTAGAACTTGATAGTCACGAGAGAAAATGTCATTAATCTACTTCATTTTTTAAGGCAATAAATATCTCGGATTCAGGGTAATTATTTCCCATGTCAAAAATCTATCTTAAGTTGATATCTATCTATCTATCTATCTATCTATCTATCTATCTATCTATCTATCTATCTATCTATCTATGTTCGACAAATCAGATCTATCTATCTATCTATCTATCTATCTATCTATCTATCTATCTATCTATCTGTGTTCGACAAATCAGATCTATCTATCTATCTATCTATCTATCTATCTATCTATCTGTGTTCGACAAATCATCTATCTATCTATCTATCTATCTATCATCTATCTATCTATCTATCATCTATCTATCTATCTACAAATCAGATCTATCTATCTATCTATCTATCTATCTATCTATCTGTGTTCGACAAATCAGATCTATCTATCTATCTATCGATCTATCTATCTATCTATCTATTATAGACAGGTCAGATCTATCTATCTATTTATCTATCTATCTATATATATATATATGTGTGTGTGTGTGTGTGTGTGTGTTCGACAAATCCTATCTATCTATCTATTTACGATAGACAGGGCAGATCTATCTATCTATCTATCTATCTATCTATCTATCTATCTATCTATCTATCTATCTATCTATTATAGACAGGTCAGGTCTATCTATCTATCTATTTATCTATATATATATGTGTGTGTGTTCGACAAATCCTATCTATCTATCTATCTATCTATCTATCTATCTATCTACGATAGACAGGGCAGATCTATCTATCTATTTATCTATCTATCTATCTATCTATCTATCTATCTATCTATCTATCTATCTATCTATCTATCTCAATCTGTTCATGTCTCTCTCTTTATATGTATATAATTTTATTATTTAATGATTTTCTCACGCACAGTATTTGTGTGTGTGTGTTTCTATCCCAGTAGTAAAATATATTAAAATACTTTATGTAATTATTATAGTAATTATTTTTAAATTATTGTGCTGATAGCTTTTATATTTAAATGGTAGATAATTTTTATATTTAATTTATATATATATATATATATATATATATATATATATATATATATATATATATATATATATATATATATATCGCAATTTTTCAATGGTTTTGGGCCCTTTTAGAGCATAAGCTATCAGTGTGTCAGATATAAGCAAACTCAGTTGAAAAATGTGGAAATTTATAACGAACATAGACACATACAGACACACTGATATCTTCTGTTATATATATATATATATATATATAGAGAGAGAGAGAGAGAGGGAGAGAGACAAACAGTTAAGTTGTATATTAAATACAATAGTTACTCTACTTGCATGTACCTATATATATATATATATATATATATATATATATATATATATATATATATATATATATATATATATATATATATATCCAGTAGCCTACTTAACAGACTCAGTAGAGATTTTTGAATTTCGTAAATCTATTTACACGTAGTCGTGGAAATTTCTACTGAACCGCCTTAAGCGCTGTTCTTTGCTTTCTTCTTCCCTTCTGACAACCAATCAACCCTTACGATTTGCGTACGAACAGACAAACCTTTTTTTTTACAAATACTTTCATGGTAACTACTCCGATGAGCTGCTTTCGCTGGTTCCCAGACTTTAATTTAAGCGTTCAACTAGGTTGGCATCTCGCTCACACGGTTTCACTGTCGAAACTGTTAAATGTAACCGTCTCTTCTACTCCAATAGCTTCATGTCTCGCACTTCTCGTCTGTGGAAGTCCCTCCCCTTTTCCTTTTTCCCTGATAGCTATAATCTCCAACTATTCAAATGTAATGTCAATCGACGTCTCCAGATGCCTTGATCTATCCCCTATCCTTCTCTTCATCCTTTCCTCTATCACTCTTATTTGCTCTCGCTCCAACACTCTGTAACCCCTTGCGTGCTAGTGGCTTCCCGCCTTGCTTGGGGTGAAACGTTTTTTTCTTTTAAAAAAAAAAAAGATAGATACATGAACTGCTATAAGCAAGGAATTTTGTGCTATCAGAGTTCAAATGAGGCATGTTAGATTGGATATTTAATTTCTGATAATCTGGAAGCATTCGACATCCCTGTCTGAGGACCTGGAACAGATAATCGAAGCAGTACCGACTGCTGCGTATAGCACAGTCATCAGCTATGAGTCATTAATGATCCTAACCAAAGACAAGAATTGTTTGAGATAGCAGACAATTAACACTGGCTCATTTGAAATTCAACTTCAACGCGGGAGGGAACAAACATATAATTTGGCCTGGGTATGACGTCCAAAAGCAAGGCCTCTTATCAGGAGCTTTTGAGGAGCCTGGAACCGCCTCTTAATTGCTGGTGTTAGCAGGTTCACCCTGACCTGGGGTGGTAGCACCTGTTAGGGTCCCAGCTATGGGCAAATAGTTAACTCCCAAACTGGGGTGAAAAATAATGAAGTGTAAAAATAGGTTTTAATATCAATAATACATTTAACCAAAAATTTTACCAGCAATGAATTTTTGAAGAAAATAATTATTACCAGCAATACATTTTTGAAGTAAAAAATATTACCGGCAATACGTTTTTGAAAAAAAAAAATATTTCCAGCAATACATTTTTGATAAAAATATTGCCAGCAATATATTTTTGGAAAACAATATTAGGAGCAATGAATTTTTAGAAAAAAATATTACCAACAATGAATTTTTGGAACAAAAAACTATTACCAGCAATTCATTTTTGAAGGAAAAAATATTGCCAGCAATTTATTTTTGAAGGAAAATATATTACGAGCAATATCTTTTGAAAAAAGAAATATTATCAGTAATAGATTTTTGGAAAAGATATTAGCAACAATGAATTTTTTGAAGAAAAAAAATTATTATCAGCAATAAATTTTTTGAAGAAAAAAAAATTATTACCAGCAAGAAATTTTTGAAGGAAAAAATATTGCCAGCAATACATTTTTTGAAGGAAAAAATATTACAGGCAATATTTTTTGAAAAAAGTAATATTACCAGCAATACATTTTGGAAAAAGATATTACCAGAAATACATTTTTTTAAAAAATATTACCAGCAATACATTTTTGGAAAAAATATTAACAGCAATAAAAATCTTGTCGGCATTAAATAACCCATTGAGGTTGATATACCATAAAACATAACAAACCAAACCCAAACATATAACCAACTGATTAGCACAGTGTTGTTCAACTTCTGTTGCATATTGAAGCAGAAGATAGACTAGAGCGACCAAGTACTATACGATAACGAATCAGCTGGGTTAGTGATGCTACTCACTGGAACACGGATGACTGCAGCATGGGATTCAATGAGTAATGTTCCACTTGTTTCGGGTTGATAGGGTTCGACTTCACAGTGATTACGCTAGTCCGCCAGATATACCGGTGTAACAGTAAAATTGTCCAAATCGTATAATAGTATAATTGTTCATTCCAAAAAATGTTTAATATCTAAATGATTTTCTTTTTTCCAGGTTTTCAGATAAGACATTTAGTCATATTGACACCATTTCTCGTAAGAGTCACTGAAAAACGTTTTGAGTTATTCGCTTAGAAAGAGAACAGGTTAAAATTGTTTTGTGTCATCCCCACTATGTCTTCTCAACTGAGCATTGGTGAGAGGGAAAAGATTATTCAGTCCTTCAGTCATGGCGCCAACATTCATACTCCAGCTTCAATCTTCAAAGTCTATACAAGAATCAAGAGAGCAGTGAATATGATTAAAAAGGCGGAAAGAGTAGAGAGGAAAACTGAATCAGGTGGTCACAACAGGAAGAGGAATCATCATTTCAAGTTAGAGCTAAAGATATCAATTAGAAAAAAAAAACAATCTATAAGACGTTTGGTACGTGAGAGAGGAGTTTCACCTATGACAGTCCAAAGAGCAGTAAAAAAAAACAAACTTGAAAATGAATTTGTACACGAAACCTGTTACTTCAGGACAAAGAATTAGAAAGTTAGAGAGGGTGAAGATCATCTTGAATAAGTTGGAAAATGATCCTGGAATAATATATATATATGAAACATTTCAATCCTTCATAAGCTTCCGATCCTTAGCTATGCTTAATTAATGGTAAACATATTATTTTTGTTTATGATCGATTTCATCACGATTCTTCGGTTAAGCTTGGAGTGTAATTATACACCATTGCAGCTCAATGTAGAGTCCAGTAGAGTTATAAAAACCTCGGAGAATTCCAGTAAGATATCTTTAATCATTTCTAAGATACAACGGTTCAAAAGCTTAATCTAAAAAAATTGGACAATTTTACTTTTACAGGATTTGGGCAAATTTGCTGTTACACCGGAATACACACACACACACACACACACACACACATACATACATATATATATATATATATATATATATATATATATATATATATATATATATATATATATATATACGGACAACATATTGGACAATGTATTGATAGTTTCCTGAGTGTTGGTATGTAGATATTGATCCACCCTACTGTAAATGTCATCAAATTATATATATCCGGCGAAGAAGCCTGCTGGATGAAAAAAGACACCAAAAACTTTGGTGACCAGAAGGAATCATGGATAGAAAATGTCTTCATTGCTTTTGAGACTGGCAGAATAAATAGTCATGTCGCGTGTTCTTTATATGATTAGTGGATATTAGTTATGACTGGGGCGGCAAACAGGTCGGAAAAGAGCAATGGAGAAGATGGGGAAATAAAAGATGGAAGAAAAGCCGAGGAATGGGGGCCAAATGAAGAAAAATACGAAAGATTCTGGCGTCAAAGAATTTTACTTATCCTATAAGTATGATTTGCATAGAATTCACTATTTCTCTATCGATCAATCGAAATTTAGTCCTCAATAAGGAGCGAAACCTTTAGTACATGTCTGCAGGACTAACTTATTAATCATTACTCTGAATCGATATCAGCTTCTTTTGAACAAAAGCTTAAAGCAGGGGATCACTCTTCAAGGATTGAACCTGCGATAATTTCCTTCCTATTCTCTTGGTATGAACAGCATTTGCTCGGTTATTAGCCAATCAGAGGAGAGGGTAACCGTCAATAACCAATCAGACGAGAGGGTGACCGTCAATAGCCAATCAAACGAGAGGGTGACCGTCAGTAGCCAATCAGAGGAAAGAGTTGGTTTTTTTTTAGAGAAAAATGATGCGCCTTAGATTTGGGTGAAAACAGTGCACTGCAACATGACTTGTTCTTGACTTGTGAATAGTGTGAGCATTTTACAACATTCGCTAGTTTTCGGTTACAGGGTCAGAGAGAAGGTGTGTAACACATTTCTGTACTCTATAAATGATTGGGAGGATAAGAGAAAAGCCGTATGAAATCATAGATATTGATGGTCTGTGACGTGAACCTGCGAACAAATACTCCATATTTGATTTCATCATAGTTTCTAAATGAAACAATTTCAATTAAGATTCTCTTTATCTTTCTGAAAAATGAGCTATACCATAGTTTATTTCTTCTTTTCTTTCTTCTTTCTTTCTTTTTTTTATCTCAGTTTTTTTTTACTTCTTTTTTTTTTCGTTCTTTCTTTTTTTATTTATTTCATTCTAGTTTCTTTGTTTCGTTTTTTACTTTTTCTTTCTTTCTATCACAGACTCTTTCTTTTTCTCTCTTTCTTTCTATCTCAGTTTATTTATTTCCTTTTTAATTCTTTCTTTATTTCTTTCTATCTAATTTTCTTTGTTTCTTTTTTCTTTCTTTCTTTCGTTCTTTCTTTCACTCTGTCTGAGTTTCTTTCGTACCTTCTTTCTTTCTTTTTTCCTTACTTCTTTATTTCTATCATTCTTTGTCAGTTTCCTTGTTTCTTTTTTACTTCTTTGTTTCTGTCTCAGCTTTTTTTGTTTCTTTCTTTCGTCTTTCTTTTTTCTTTCTTTCTGCCATTCTGTTTCAACTTATTTCTCTCTTTCATTCTATGTAAGTCTCTTTCTTTCTATCTTTCTTTCTTCTTTCTTTCTTCTACTCTAACTCATTATATTTTTTCTTTCTTTCATTATATCTCAGTTATTTCTTTCTCCGTTCTTAATGTTGATAGATGTTGTTACAGTTTATAACCTGTATTGAATAGTGCGATCTATCTATCTATCTATCTATCTATCTATCTATCTATCTGAATTCATATCTATCTTATTTTTCGTTTTTTATTTTTTTGTTTTTTGTTTTTTTTAAATCGGAATCACCCCAATCAAGAGAGTAATGGTACTGAAACACAAGGGGCTATAGGGTGTGAAATAATTAGGAACAGAAACATTCATGATGAGCAGAAATAGAAGATAATAATCAGGTAGACAGTAGATAGCGTTTGACATTGCATTTAAATTTTGGCAGATTAAAGTTGGCGGGAAAGCATCGATCTGGAAGGGAGTTCCACAGGCAAGAAGTGCAAGAGAAGAAACTGTTAACATAGAATTTACGGCTACATCTAGCCAGCTCAACTTTAAATTGATGACGCCAGTCTAGTGCTGCGCTTAAATGAAAAGATTCTAGGTACCATAGCGAAGAGCTAATTCGAAGTATTACCACGAAAGTATTTATAAAAAAGACAACGTGAGTCAACCTTACGGAGGTGGGAAAGTGACAGCAGCTGAACCACCAGATCAGGACCAGTAATATTGTAAATTTATCTTTCGATATTATCAATAGACTCAAGGTGAATATCATGAACACCGAACCATAATGTGGCAGCAATATTTTAAGCATGGACGAATGATAGACTTATAGATATGTATGAAAGACTCTGGGGAGAAAAATTTCCTCGCCCTGCACAGTGAACCGACTTTCTTAGCGGGTGATATAGTAATGGATTCTATATAGTTTTTTTCACTTCATATCAGCTGAGAACGTGGGCCGGACAAGGCGCAATGGGTCAGTTTCCTGGAGGATAGCATTAACCATGATGTTGGAAGGCAGTACGGTCTCTCTCAGATGATTAATGGAGAGAAGTTTAGTTTGGAGGCGTCAAAATTAACAAGCCATCTTTTACCCCAGTTAACTACGAACTTGAAGTCGTTTTGGACATCAGCTTCCATTTTGACCTTGTCAAATTGATAAGCCTTACAATCTATCTATCTGTGTTTCTTCCTATCTATCTATCTATCTATCTTAGTGTGTTCATATCTAAGTTGTTCATATCTGTATCTGTCTATATTTTTCAGACGAAGTATTATGTACACTATTTACATTATTCGGACTATTGTCCTCATCTTTGTCGCCATATTTATTACAACGCCTCGGCCGTTGTACGCTCCGGCCTTCGTCAGGTGGTTGGAATGTCGAACTGAACCCTTTATTTCGCTCACTGGGGTAGATTGTTCTAGTTCCACGTGCCATGTTTAATGGATGTCAGTTACCAGTTATCTCCTGTTAATTTCCCTCTGAAAGTTCTCCACTGCCTTAACCGGGTATTGAACTCACACTCTTTGGGCCTTGTCACTAGATCTAACCAACGCATTTATCCACTGTGCCATGTGTCCTTGTTCATAACTATTCTGTCTGGGAACCTCGGCGTGGTGTAATGGTTAGCAAGCTTGTCTCGCTAGAACAGTTACGACTGAAATGTGAGTTCGATCCTCAATAGTTGCTCCATACTTTCGGCCTTGTGCCACATCTAAGCTACACTCGGAAAATAACCATATCTATCTATCTTAGATCTTATTTATCTATCGAAAATTTACAAATTTCAGAATAATAAAATATAAATTGTAAATAATAAACCATCAACATCAATAAACAAATAATTATCCTTAAAGGTTGTAAACAAGAAAGGAAACGACAGATTTGGCTCCGTCGATGGAGAAGCCAGAACAATTCTAATGGAAATGTGTTAGCAAATTGAACGATTTAAATGCGAGTCTTAATTAATATGGAATACTGACGAGGCAGTTTTGAAGAAGAAGAAGAAGAAGAAGAAAAAGAAGAAAAAAGAATTAAATCTCAAGAGGGCAAACATGACATCTTGAATGTGTTAAAGTTTCTTGGCCAGAACAATTAAATTGGCGCGAACAGAGAGGCAAAGAGAGAAGAAGGTTCTCAGGGAGTGAATTAGTTTGTCAATCTGAGAAAAGCGTGGAAAGGCGGGGCTGGTTTGAAATGGTAAGAAGAATTAATGAACAAATATGCTTTTAAAAAAGGAAGGGAATTAAAATTGTAAGGAAGTTAATGGGAAAATGAAAAAATATGAAAATAATGAAAGATAGAAAGTATTGGAGAAAGAAAAAAGAAAAAGATAGGAAGGAAAGAAAGAAAGAAAGAAAGAAAGAAAGAAAAGGGGGAAATGAAAGCAAGAAAGTAAAGAAGGAAGAAAGAAACACCGAAATGAATGAAAAAAGAAGGAAAGAAATAACTAAGTAAAGAAAAACAAAAGAATGATCCAGAGGTAAGCGTACTTCCAGTAGATCTGGAGCAACGCTTTCTTTCGGTTGGGATCAAAGTGTAGTATCCGTTCCCCTTAATGGTAATAGTAATAATAACGTTTTCTTTATAAGGAAATATTTGACATTGATTGGCTGAGCAGCCTATACTATCGTTGGTTGGAATTTATAGAATCTTTCTTTTAAACAATTCAGGGAAATAGGTTTCTCATATCCACGTTGATCGCTCTTTCCAGTATTGATGGGGGTTTCCATCTTAATTTTTCGTTTGAGGTAGCGTGGAATGTTAACTCCTTGTAAAAGAATATATATAGGACTAGTTAAAGAGAAAATCATAAAAGAGACCAAATTGTTTCCTCAGTTTCCAGCTCCGAAAGTGTATTGATGTAATACCACCCTTATATTTCTGAATGAAAAAAGAATAAGAGTATAATCTAAGAAAGAAAGAAAGAAAGAAAGAAAAAAAGAAAGAAAGAAAGAAAGAAAAAGACAGAACGGACAGAGTGAATGTGAAGTGGCACCAAGTAATCTCTCTAGCGACTGATTGATTTTGTTTTTTACGGCTTATCAACCCTTCGTGAGTTATTTAAAGCCGAAACATTTTGCATTTTAACAATAATTATTTACATTTTTACAAGGGAATATTGCATTAACAATTTCATTTTAGATCTCTTATTTGCCTCTATCCCTTACTCATGTCGTACTCTGCGGCTCTGCCCTCTTGGCAACTCCGATCAAGCGGTAGTGTCTATAAATTAAATATCTCTTTCCGCTCTTCCATCAGCCATGGACCAAAAGAACATCTTTCATTTTTCAACGTGCTGATTGGGACTCGTTCCATGACTTCCTTCCCGATGTCCCTTGGAATGATGTTTTTAATCACTCTGTTAAAAAATGTGCCATTTAGATCCCCCCCCTCCTGGATGAAAACCGCCATAGAAGCTTTCATTCCAGCACAGAAATACTAAGTGAAACCACGATCACCTTGATTGCTGCGGATTCTTTTGTCGGCATAGTACACTTGCTATTATTTGTTTTCTCTTTGCTAGGATTGCTCATTGAGCAGGTGGTTCGCCATTGACAATTAATCTTCTTTGCGTTTTCGAACGAGGCAAGGAAAACTTAAGCTGGGTGCCTAATGACCAGGGAGCTGTCCTTCAGTTAAAATCAACACATGAATTCAACGTTTGGAGACCTCTGCCTTATGTTATAGTTACGCGGAACTCCACCTACTATCAGATCTCAATATTAATATTTGGTTGTCTACTGGGGAGGAAAAACCAGACATTCCTTCTTTGCATAGAGATTGTACACCTGAATTAATCTGTAGAATAGATTAGAGGAAAATAATGTTGTAACAACGTAAGCAACATAAAGAATGAATTTATTCGTTCGATGAAAGAAGGTGGAAAAGACAAAAAAAAACAGGAAAATAAATAATATAAAGTGAATAATACGTAAATATTGTCACCGAATTACAATATTGTTAAAAACAACCTTTAATCACTTTAAACTATAAACAAATTCTAATAACTGGTAGTGGTTGTTTCGCATAGTTTTTTTACAGATTAAATTTTATGCACCATTATACTTATATATATATATATATATATATATATATATATATATATATATATTTATTTGTTGCGGGTGTTCTGCTGCATTCTGTGTCGTCTCTGGATCCCCACGTTACTACATAAAACGGTATCAACGAAAAGGACCATTCTTTTTTTGTTATTCGTTTTATTAAGAATGGCAGCATGGATTCTAAGAGGAATGACGTCCCAGGAACGCATATCGCACGCTGGGACAGCATCTCTCCGCGGCGGACTAAGCCAGTCGCTAACCTGGATGTGAGAGGCATATCGACGCTTCAGAATTCTTGAGGCCCTCTGTTAAATTCACGCCATTTTGGACTTATATTCAAAACCCAGACAAAAGCAATCCATCACTGTCAGAATACTACGCTCACGAGGCACTCCGGGCAATTGCTGACCATTCTGGTTCTGGCCTTCGCATTCTGTAACGTAAAAATAAACTTAACGCGTCCAAACGTTTTCGGCCACTTCCTATAAATCAAGTCATATTTCTTTTTCTACAATGATGCTCACCTTGAACAAGGCCCATGAGCCATTCACGGTAGAGTGTTACAGAGTAAGAGTCACAGTTTATTGTGATATGTGGAAAAGATAAGGGTTAACCGTAGATTTTAACAGGTTAAGATTGTATTGATAGGGAAGCGTCCTTTTGGGAATCGGTTTCGCAAAACAGCAGTTCGTGGGAAGAAGATGCCCGGGCGGAACTTACGTCTCAAAATGGAATATGAAAGGATTGTGGGTGGTTCACTAGTCTGTGCGTGGGAGAGTGGGTCTAAGCTGTAAAAAGTCTGAACTGGTGGAATTAAGATAACCGCTAACCTAGACTTGAACAGGTTAAGATTATTGTGATTAGGGACGTATCCGCTTGGAGACATACAGCGGGAATACCGGACCATATATGACAGAAATATTCCATGCGAGGAGAGATGGTTCATTTATAGATTTGAACGATAAACTCGGACGAGATCACCTTTTTGTTGTTTTAAAACTAAAGTTCATCCAATGTAATGCACAAGAGTTACTCGTAGTTTATTCAATAAGGCATGTGGTACAAAGACGGGAAGATTATAAGGATAAGGAGGATAGATAACAATTGACCCTTGACTTGAAGATGTTAAGATTGTAGTGTACATAAACGAATTCACGCGGAAGTTTTTTTTCCAGACATTAGCATTTCTCGGTGGGGAAAAAAAGGTTTTTATTGTCACAACATTTCGACTGATGTGTTCTTCGACTTTCTTCAAATGTCTATCGGCACAGGTAACCTTCAGGAAATTCGAACTGAATGCTTTATTTAATGTTCTTGTTCTTATTCCACTGTTCACATCTAGGGAGATAGCGTTGTGTTCATATTTATTGCGCACCCAGTGAAAAATCTGTATTAAGCGACCAAACGTTTTCATCTTCTACCCTATTGTTCCAGGTTGGGGGTAATCGTCTTGGATATTGTCTCCGGGGACTAACCTGATCCCGTAGCTTGGAACATTGATCTTAATGTTCTTCTTGCTTACCTGACCCTAAGTGAGGTTTCGCTAAATAATATATATATATATATATATATATATATATATATATATATATATATATAAGTGTTTGTTTCCGATTTCCGAATCCGTAGGTCAACCGGACGGATGGATCTTAAGCGTTTGTACACAAAATATACGATCTGAAACAAACTCTTAAGATCCATATAAAGATATCTAATGAGACCTCACTTAACGCCAGGAGATAACCTCCAAAACTACATTAACTCTTTAAATCATTTCGAGTACAAAAATTATCCACTTGCCTAGGCAATGTAACGTGTAATAAACCTCGATGTCGATTTGGAAGCATATTATCACTGTTCGTATTTTTACGCCACCTGGCACGCAACAATAACACGACCATCTCTTTGATAGTTTTCTTGTAACAAATGTAAAACAGTAAATTATATCAGTGAAACATATATGGGATTCCGTGTTCCGTTTAATAACAATAAAAAGAATACCCAAAGACAACAACATCACTTTCACTGTAGCTCCACATTTCAAACAACCGGACCATGGCAGAGATAAAATTAGATGCGTCATTTTTGTGTCTTCATTTAAATGTCACGACCTAGTTAAAATACGTTTTTTAGCCATACTTAATGAATA